TCCACATCAGCACAAACACACACAGAGCCCCTGGTTAAACATCCAAAGTGAATAGTGTCAGTGTTCAAGTGCAATGGCAGCACTTTCAGTAAATTTCCATATAGCCTGTCTGATGCCCTGCTCCCAGAATCCTCCAGCAAGTCTAGAATTACCAAACTTTACCAGACTCATGTCACCCAGAGTAATTCATAATAATTGAACACTATCCCAACAACTGATATGTCCCTTTCCACCAAGTCTTTTGTGTGTGTTAATTGGTGTTTAATAAATAAAAACTCTCTGAAAGATAACTAATCTTTATTTGTGTCCATCACATACTGATTGCTGCTGGTAGTAAAACATACATGCAGTTTAATCATTTGCTTGCTACAAATCCTGCTTATGAATCATCACAAGTTTTAGGCAAAATAAGAAGAGAAATTAATGAAGCATGGCAGATTGCTGTATAGAAATACACATTACAGGTGCTCATTATCAAAATGTTGACTCAAAGTCTCCCTGATTCAAATTGCCCCCTGTTCTGCTCCTCTAATAGCCCTGGTATCAGCAGCCAGGCAATCTGCTCAGTGCTCCACCCCAGGAGAAACTTTTCATACTTAACCTCACAAAGATTATGGACTGTGAAGAAGGCTGCTATGACCTTGAGAATGTTTTCCACATTTAGATCTAACCTGTCATAAAGACAGCACCAGCGCGCTTTTAATCTGCCAAATGTACATTCCACGGTCATTCTGTACCTACTCAGCCTATTGTTAAAGTGTTCCTTGCTGCTTCCAGGTTTCCCGTGTAAGGCTTCATGAGCCATGGGAGTGAGGGGTATGCTGGGTGTCCCAGGATCATTAGGGCATTTCAACATCGCTCACTAAATTCTTCTGGTCTGAAAAGAAAGTACCTGCTTTCAGCTTTCTGTATATGCCAGTGTTCCAGAAGATGCCTGCATCATGCACCTTCCTGGAGCACCCCACGTTGATGTCAGTGAAATGCCCACGGTGATGTACAAGTGCCTGCAATACCACAGAGAAGTACTCCATTCTATTGATGTCCTCCATTGCAAGATGGTCCGTGGCAAAAATTGGAATATTCATTCCATCTATCACCGTGCCACAGTTAGGGAATCCAATTTCTGCGAAGCCATCCACTATTTCACACACATTGCAAAAAGTCATGGTCCTCTGTAGCAGAATGCGATCAATGGGCCTGCATATTTACACAGCCCCCACAGTCGACTTCCTGACTCCAAACTGATTTGTGACCAACCAGTAGCATTCTGGAGTTGCCAGCTTCCACACTGCAATGGCCACATGCTTCTCCACTGAGAGGGCTGCTCTCATTTTCGTGTCCTTGTGCTGCAGGGCTGGGATGAGCTTTGAACATAGTTCCAGGAAGGTGGTTTTCCGCATCCAAAAATTCAGCAGCCACTCCTCATAATCCCAGACTTGCATAACGATGCAATCCCACCACTCAGTATTTGTTTCCCGAGTCCAAAAGTGATGGTCCACCATGTGCAGCTGCTCCTTGAATGCTAAAAATAATCTAGTGTTGTTTCTTTCCATGGCACACAGCAGGTCAGGCAATTCAGAGTCCTGTTCTGATTGTGAGCTTGTGATGTACTGCATGACTACCCGTGATTTGTTAATAATAGTTACTACAACAGTAGAGAGCAGTGCGGGATCCATCCTTTCACACAGAGATGCAGGCACAGAGAAAACAGGGAGCACTGAAAAATGCCACCAAAACCTGGTTGGAAGACTATGGAATGCTGGGACAGAAAATAGTGCATCATGGGATGTTGAGATCGCACCCATGATGCACTGCCATGCACTTTGCCTTTCCACAAGTCCTAGCTGTAGAAGGTGGTGAGCAGCATATGGGATAGCTACCCACAATGCACTGCTCTCAGTGTCGATGCTAGAGCACCAAGTGTGGACACACTCTGCTGACACAGGTAGCGTATTGTGAATATGCACTAATTATGGTGCTTTTTGATCATCAGAATAACTTTTGTCGACAAAACTCTATAGTGTAGACATGGCCTCAGGGCAGTGAAATTTTCCCACCTCTGAGTGTTGTCACTAGGTCAATCTAAGTTTTAGGTCTAGACCAGACCTTTGTTTCCCAAGTGCAAAGAGTTTGAAAATAGTAAGAAAGGGAGGGAAAGTGAGGGATGCCTAGGGGAGAGGGAGACTTTCATTTTTTAAAGTAACTAGAGCTCTTCAAGAATTTTCAGTAGAAAGTATTTTAAAAAACTGAAAAACAAAAAATACAGTTTCTGCAAAATCAAAGTTTTCCACATAAAATTGCCAAAAAGTTATTTCTTTCTAGAAATCTGAAACATAATATTTTTTTCTGAGTTGAGATGGCCTGAATCAAAATGTTTCAATATGTTAAACTGAATAGAATCTTTTAATTTTGAGTAGAGAGAATCGAAAAACTTGCCCAAGAACACCCAGCAGGCTAGTGGCAGGGCTTGGAATAAAAGGCCAGAGGTGCTGAATCACAGTCTAGTGAAGTATTAATTAAGGATTTCATGGCAACAATTTCACTCTTTCCCTTTACCTTTATAGATCTTTTATATGGAAAACCTGTGTTCGTAGGGCACCTGAGATGGTATTAAAGAAGATCTTGGCTGTTGTTTTTGGGAAGGAAAGAGAAAACATTAGTTTCAATGGTCTTAAGTTGTTGTTATTGTTGGAAACTCATCCTGAAACAAAACAAACACACATAAACACACATCAAAAGACAGATAAAAAAACAGCATGTCAAGGCTGCTTCCCCACTCTGAACTTTAGGGTACAAATGTGGGGGCCTGCATGAAAACTTCTAAGCTTAACTACCAGCTTAGATCTGGTCCACTGCCACCATTCCCAAAGCTAATTCCCTTCCCTGGGAAGCCTTGAGAAACTCTTCACCAATTCCCTGGTGAATACAGATCCAAACCCCTTGGATCTTAAAACAAGGAGAAATTAACCATCCCCCCTCCTTCCTCCCACCAACTCCTGGTGGATCAAGATCCAACCCCCTTGGATCTAAAAACAAGGAAAAATCAATCAGGTTCTTTAAAAAAAAGGCTTTTAATTAAAGAAAAAGGTAAAAATCATCTCTGTAAAATCAGGATGGGAAATAACTTTACAGGGTAATCAAACTTAAAGAGCTCAGAGGACCCCACTCTAGCCTTAGGTTCAAAGTACAGCAAACAGAGATAAACACTCTAGTAAAAGGTACATTTACAAGTTGAGAAAACAAAGGAAAACTAACACACCTTGCCTGGCTGTTTACTTACAAGTTTGAAATATGAGAGACTTGTTCAGAAAGATGTGGAGAGCCTGGATTGATGTCTGGTCCCTCTTAGTCCCAAGAGCGAACAACCCCCAAAACAAAGAGCACAAACAAAAGCCTACCCCCCCCCAAGATTTGAAAGTATCTTGTCCCCTTATTAGTCCTTTGGGTCAGGTGTCAGCCAGGTTACCTGAGCTTCTTAACCCTTTACAGGTAAAAGGATTTTGGAGTCTCTGGCCAGGAGGGATTTTATAGTACTGTACACAGGAGAGCTGTTACCCCTTCCCTTTATAGTTATGACACAGCAAGAAAAGAAAAGTCAGCTGCCACCTTTTGGTCTGATCAGCCACTCTGAGATCAGTCAAATTTGTGCCAGGGCCAGGCTGCTTAAGAGGTTGCTTTTAGCTGACATTCTGGTCACAGGACTACAGCACCGTCGCAAAGGTTGGGTCTGTTATGGGGGCTAAGTCAGACTCTTCCTAGACAAGTCATAAATGGAAAGAGGCAAGAAAGAGAAGAAACAAAGCAGGGGAGGAAAATGAGACATGGGGGAGGGGATGACAGCAGTACTCCTAGGCTCATATTCTTGGTGTTGTTTGGGATTTAGCCAAAGCCAATGGAGCGGGGGTGATATAATTTGTTTTCTTCTGTCTGGCCAGTTTTGGGCAGGATGCCTTTCAGGATATGGGCAAAATTTTGAAAGGTGTCATGGTGGATCGAGGGACTCAGGAGTTGGTGGAGATGGCTGCCATGATGGTAACATTCTCTCCTTCCAGTCCCCTCTGATCACATTGAGTGACCCCCAGATAAATAATATTCCAGAAGGTGCGGCAGCCTCCTCCCATCAACATTCAGCAATAATTTTGGTGATTTCAACTGGAAACATTTCCATCCATTTTTAGACTCTTTCAAGCTCATTTCCCGGACAAGCAGTAAATTTACCAGGAGCGTTGGAGACCACTTAGTACAATTCCTTTCACATAAACAAGCCAGTTTGTTCCAGTTTGGCTGAATTTCATAAACATTTTTTTTTAAACAGGAAGAGTTTAACTTTTGTTCCTTGCAAAATGTATAGTACAGGAAATACAACAAGACCTTGGTCATTGATTTGAGTTACGGTAATTTATGCCACTGGAAATCTAGTCCTTCTAACAAAGTTTTCCCGTTATTTGGTGGATTCTCCCTCAATGGCAATTTTAAAATCCACATAGGATTTTTTTTAAAGATCTTCTCTAGTTTAAAGAAAAAAATAATTTGGGGGAAGCCATATAACCTATGGCAGGCATGCAGTCAGAGCAGATGACCACAATAGACCTTCTTATGTGAGTGCCCTGACCACTGGCCTATGGGATAGGCTGGTGTTGGACTCCTGTTGAAACTGTTCCACTGTGAATACATATTTTTAAGAAATTCACTACAGCAGAGAGACAGGATCCTAGTTCTACCCCATCCTAAGGGCATGTTCTAACCACTAGGCTCCAAACTCATTCTCATATTTGCTTTCTCTCTCTCTCTCTCCAGCCCAATGACTCTTGAAGTGTTTATCAAAAATGGAACAGATTCCACAGGAGACATTGAAGGAGACCTCTCAACAGACTATCCCTATGCTCATAACACTCACCAGAGTGGTGGCAGATTCCTGGTCACATCCCCTCAGGTAGAGGAAAGATATGAATCACGATCTCCCCCCTCCCAGGGGAGTGCCTTCACCACAGAGCTAAAAGTTATGAGGGAGCGCCTCTCCTCTGGCTTCTTGCAAGAAACACCTCCAAGAGAAGGCCCACAGTGGAGAATCTCAAGCAGAGGTAGATGTCTCCCTCTAGTCTGGGTTCAGGTGCCAAAGACCCAAGAGGGCGGGGCTTAGCACAACACCCTCTCTTTGTTATTTCCCATTGGTGAGCTTAGATGGGGTGCCACCTAGCCTGCTGCCTTTTGTGGATCCCATTGTTAGGCATTTATCTCCCCACTCATTGTATAGGGCACCTGAGTGCCTGACTCAGGCTTTGTGCAGCTCAGTGATTTTCTAGGTGCCCATAAGTTAGGGATGATGATGCTCAGTGTTACAACACCTAAGTCCCTTTGTGAATCTAGCCCTTAGTGTAAATGGGAATCAGGAGCGTTAATCTAGAATTCCCTACCCCTTTATACCACTAGTATCATTTCACCATCCACTTTGCTTTCCTTATTTCATTCTCTTCTCACTTCCAGTAGTTTGTATCTGAAATAACTTCAAAGCAATCAATGGAGCCAATTCTCCAACATCTTTTATCTCGTGTTGGCGACCACATCTGAGCTGCTCTGGTTTGAAGCTGCTGTAGGTGAGAGGAGAATCATGGTAACTTTGCACTAAATTAAATGGTTACGCACAATGTAAGTCATCAGTGATTCATACTCATTGAACGATGAGGAAGTTAGTTTCCAAATTGTCCATCCATTATCATATCTGTGCTCATGCTAACCCTGGTAACATCTGCATGAAACATTGCCCGGCCCTTAGCTACTCTAATTCAGCATAGCTCTGTTGTGGAAAAATTCACCCACACATCATTTTTGAATCAAAGACTCAGCCTGAGGCCTGTTTATTGAATACACACCAACGCGTTGGGGGTAGCAGTTATGGAACTGCTCCCCCGAAGCAAAGCATACAGGAGCTTTTAAAGCTTAAAACCACAAACAAATTACACATACTTGAGTAATAATTACCTTATTTGGAATACATTGCAGAATCAATACTGATCAAGAGTTAGGGTCTTTCTGGTACTTTCCAGCACCCTTTTGCAACCTTGCCTTGTATGGGTGTAGTTGAGTTAGAGTCTTCTTGGTACTTTCCAGTACTCTGTTGCAACCTTGCAATCTTGCCTGTTATGGGGTGCAATTACACAACTGTACTTTCCATGGGGTACAATTACAATGGGGGTAGTTACACAAGTGGTGTAGGGGAAGACATGAGTTACATTTATTATTGGTTCACCCTTATAGGTTAATTTATTGCTTCACACAACTGATTATTATATTTCAAAAGCAGTACACACATATTGCAAATTATTCTTGTTTCAGGGGCTTTCCATTGCCTCCCCTCTGCCACCCCTTTTGTGTCTTAACCTCTTTTCTCCCTTGACCACCGCTGTCAGGGAGCACAACCTTTAGCTTAGCTCAGGCTTTGGGTCTGTTAGCTGCAAAGCAGGCCTAGATCAAGCAAGCAAAAGCCTAAACCATTAGGGCCAGCTCAGTTTTCTTCCACAGCTCCAGTGAAATCAATGGAGTTATGAGATTTGCACCAGTTAAGGATCATGCTCATTTGGGAGTGGTCAATCTGGGAATGTCCAGTGAGTCAGTGGTTGGAGACTCCAGGGGGATTCTTGGAGGGCTCCAGGCCTGGGGTGTGCCTCTTGCAAACCTGCAGAGGAACAGTGGAGCCTGTATAGGCAAAGAGGGGAAGGTTTGTGTCACCTCTGGATGGTGGAGTCAGGGAGCTACACTCACCAGGCACTGACAAGGCTTTCTCGTACTAAGGGTGGTGGGGGTGGGGTAGCGAGGTGCCTGATAACCTGGAATATCCTCAGGGAGAGTCACAGCCTTATAGCAGGTGAGTCAGAAGAACTGTATCTTCTCCTGCTTCATGAATTGCTCCAGGGCTAAAGCACCCAGATGCTTTGAGTGGACAGCAGTATGTACGCCCCTAGGTGCCTATGGGACTTTTTTTTTGCAAAAACATAGGTGCTGAGAGAGTTTGGGGGCCCATCAATTTTCAGCAGCAGTTGAGTGGGTTTTTTTTTTTTTGAATACCCGTGATGCCTTATTCTGTGATTTAGGCACTCAAAGTGTCAGTTAGGTGCCTAAATCCCTTTGTGAATACACCTTAAGGTTATTTTATATCAGTCCAGTCATATAAAGGCACCTCACCATGAGTCTAAGGGCTTGCCTTCACGTGCAGTGCTACAGTGGTGCAGCTTCACCCTTCTCCTGTCAATGTAGGTAATCCATCTCCCCAAGAGGTGTTAGCTATGTTGATGGGAGAAGCTCTCCCATCCACACAGTGCTGTCTACACCGGCAGTTATCTTGGTATAACTATGTTGCTCATGGTTGTGGATTTTTATAGGTCTGTACTGTAGACATGGCCTAAATAGAACTTACTCCAATTTTAAAGCCCCTTTCCACTGCTAGAGTCAGTAAATTTCTGTCAGTGTCAATGAGAATGAGTCTCAATAGATCCATTTAGCAGAGTGGTAGATTCATAGATTCACACATTATAACGCTAGAAAGGACCTTTGTGATAATCTAATCTCACCTTCTGAATAACAAAGGCCAGAGGCCTTCCCTGAATTAACTTTTGTTTGAATTGCAGAAGATCTTTTAGAAGAAATCATCCAATTAGGATTTAAAAATTGCCCATTAGGGAGAATCCAGGGTAAATTGACATAAAATAGAGCATTAGATCCATGTTGGTGTAAATTGGCATAGCTCCATAGACAGGTCCTGTTGGTCAGAGGCATGTATGGTAAGATTTTCAAGGATTGTCATGCAAAGAAGCCCAGAGAGTCAAGAAATGGGTGGAAATGTTCACAACTGAAATCACCTAAATGATGGGTGAATGTTGAATGCCAAACCTTCTGGAATATCAAGTATCTGGGGGGTGACTGCATGGGATCAGAGGGTGATGGGTGGACTGGAAAGAGAGAGCTTTACCATTCTGGTTGCCCACTCCACCAAATGCTGAGATACTAGATCTACCATGACACCATTACACCTACTGTGTCTAGATTCTGAAAGGTGTTCTGTCAAAACTGGCCAGACAGAGGGAATCAACTGACATCACCCACACACCCTCCACTGGTTCACCTACATCCCAAATAACACTGGGAATACAAGCTGTGGGTTCCTGCTGTCACCTCCTCCCACAACTCTCATTTTCCTTCCCTGCTTTGTGTTATGGTTCCCTCCAATGCCTTTTCCACTCCTTAACTCAGAACAATTCATCCAGTTCTGGGAGAACACTTCAACCAGTTATCTGGGATCCAGAAACTCAGTTCCACTCCAGCTCATCACTCAAGTTGCTTTATCATGCATGTAATAGCTCTATGCCCATGGTAGCCAGGACCAGATACGGGGGTTTAGGTACAGGAAGATATCGCAAATCCTATTCATGCCACACACTACAAAGTTTATATACATCTTTGCCAGCTATTAAGGTATATACTTCTTGAATCTACTTCAATGACACATCCTAGAGATCATGTAAGGACCAATAGCTTTTGTTTACACCTTATCTACAGTTCAATGTTATCTGTTCAGGGTATTCCCACTGACATCAACTTGCTCAAAAACACTGTTTCCTTGACAATAACCACTCCTCCCCCATAAATGGAGGATTTCCATATAAAACACTCTATATGGCTAGAAGGAAAGTGAATCACGGTAATTGTTGACATGATATCCTTACTTAATACTTTATTTATTAAAAAATACCAGAGCTGGTTTTTTGTATGTTTCTTTTTCTAGCACTTTAATAAAAGTTCAAAAAGTTATTAAAGATGGAGGTTCTAAGATAAGTCAGCGGCAATAACTGGACATGAAACCCCTGACCTCAGTGAATGATTTATTGTGAACATAAGAACATAAGAACGGCCATATTGGGTCAGACCAAAGGTCCATCAAGCCCAGTATCCTGTCCTCTGACAGTGGCCAATGGCAGGTGCCCCAAAAGGAATGAACAGACAGGTTATCATCAAGTGATCCATGCTCTGTCACCCAATCCCAGCTTCTGGCAAACAGAGGCTAGGGACAATATTCCTGCCCATCCTGGCTAATAGCCATTGATGAACCTATCTTCCATGATTCTATCTAGCTCCCTTTTGAACCCCCTTATAGTATTGGCCTTCACAACACCCTCTGGCAAGCAGTTCCAGAGATTGACAGTGCGTTGCGTGAAAAAATACTTTCTTGTGTTTCTTTTAAATCTGCTACCTGTTAATTTCATTCAGTGCCCCCTTGTTCTTGTATTATGAGAAGGAGTAAATAACACTTCCTTATTTACTTCCTCTATATCAATCATAATTTTATAGACCTCTATCATATCTCCCCTTAGTTGCCTCTTTTCCAAGCTGAAAAATCCCAGTTTTATTAATCTCTCCTCATACTGTTCTATACCCCTAATCATTTGTGATGCCCTTTTCTGAACCTTTTCCAATTCCAATATATCTTTTTTGAGATGGGGAGACCATATCTGCATGCAGTATTTAAGGTGTGGGCATACAATGTATTTATATAGAGGCAATATGATATTTTCTGTCTTATTATCTGTCCCTTTCTTGATGATTCCCAATATTCTGTTCGCTTTTTTGACTGCCGCTGCACATTGAGTGGATGTTTTCAGAGAACTATCCACTCAATTGCGCTAACAGAAAACAACAGTTTCATTTATATGTAGTTGGGATTGAGACATTCTCTTATCAACAAAAGAGACCTTTGGAAAAACCCAAATTTCTCCTGCTGAAAGTGTATTTTTACAGTTATATAAAAATGTACCTTAACAAAAATAGTTCTATTATAATATCTGACCCAATGCCACGACACATGACAATGACAGCTCCAGATCTTAACAGATATATTTTTGACATGTTTGTGGTTTTAATGTCTCAAAATAAATTAGAAAACAGAGAAAATAAATGGTAATTTTAATCATAATTACTAATTTAGGATGAAATATAGTATTCTGATTCAATGAGACTGCATGCAAAATATTTTTATACACAATGGGCAGACTTTTATAGCTATTTAAGAGCCTAATATGATTTTCAGAAGCATCTGGGCAACTAACACCCAATGAAACCATTGAGTTTTATGTTTTATGAAAATCACACTTGATACCTAAATACCTGGAAAATTCTCATACCAATGAGCCTTGGGACAGCTAGTGTGATTCAACTTAGCTCCACTGATGTTAATGTGGCCCAAAGGCCATCTAGAGTATATCAGGCATTGCCCCACTGCAGTCAATGCAACTCCTTCCCAGCGGATGTAAATCATTCTCATTCCACTGAAGTGAATGGACCATAGTACAAATGTATGTCTATTGAAGTCCATAGTTATGCAACAGGTTTCAGAGGGGTAGCCGTGTCAGTCTGTATCAGCAAAAACAATGAGGAGTCCTTGTGGCACCTTCGAAACTAACAGATTTATTTGGACATAAGCTTTCGTGGGCTAAAACCCACTTATTCAGATGCATGGAGTGAAAAATACAGTAAGCAGTATATATATACAGCACATGAATATATATATACTGTATATATATACTGTTAGTTATGCAACAGTTTACACTGCCTGTGGACCTGTCCTAGAAAGGACAAGACATATGAGAATCATGTTCACTCTTGTAAAAATTACATTTTCATGGCAAAAGGAGAGATTTTCCTGAAGGCCATTTTGATGTCCCTATTGCGCAGACTGTAGATCAGAGGGTTCAGAATGGGAGTCACTAGAGTGTACATTATGGCCACCAACTTGTCCTTATCCAGTGAATAACTGGAGGTTGGCCGGATGTAGGTGTAGATGATGGAGGAATAGAACAAGGTGACCACAAGCAAGTGGGAGGAACAGGTGGAGAAGGCTCTCTGCTTCCCTTTGGAGCTCCGGATTTTCAGGATAGTGATGATGATGAAGCTATAGGACACGGTGGTCAGCATGAAGTTTCCCATGGCCAGGAAGATGTCTGCCAAGATCATCATAACTTGGTTGAGGTAGATGGAGCTGCAGGACAGTGCCAGCACAGGTGGGATCTCACAGAAGAAATGCTGGATGAGGTTTGGCCCGCAAAAATCCAAGCGCAGCATGATCAATGTGTTCACCACTGAATTGACAACACCAACAGCCCAGACCCCGATGGCTAAACTGATGCAAATTCTCTTGGTCATGAGGTTGACATAGCGCAAGGGGTGGCAGATGGCTACATACCTGTCATATGACATGATAGTGAGGAGCATAAGCTCTATCCCCCCTGACAAAGTGAAGGCAAAGACCTGGGCCATGCAGCCATCAAAGGAGATGGTTTTCTTCTCCTGCATCAGGTTTTTCATCATCTTGGGCAGAACTGAAGAACTGCACATAATGTCGAGGGTGGCCAAATTGGCAATGAAGAAGTACATGGGGGTGTGGAGAGGTGGGTGTAGGACAATAGCCACAATGATCAGGGAATTGCCCATGACGACAGCTGTATAAAGGCAGAGGAATAGGCCAAAGAACAGCCCCTGATGGTGAGGATGGTCAAAGAGCCCCTGCATGATGAACTCGGTCACCCTGGTGTGATTACTGGGTTCCATTGTTTGAGAGTTCCTTCTGTGGGAACAAAGATTAAAGTTTCTATCTGGTATTTCTTCAGAAACTACAGCATTTTGGCAATTGAAGCATCTAGACAGACCAACAGTGAAATGGAGAGAGTGAGAGAACTTGTGATACTCTTCACATTTCATATAACATATTAACATACTGAGCTATGTTAAAATATGTTAGCACAATAATCTGAGCTACTGAATCTCCATTCTCCCAGCATTTGAGTAAAGAAGGAGAAAAATAACATTCTTGATGTTCTCAGACAGAGGTGCATGAAGTCATTTGGACTGTTTAAATAAACTGCTGGAGAGGGGATTTCACAATATAATCTCAAAATTAATCAAACACCAGTAATCTTATGAATAACCAAGATTCCAGTTTTTAAACTAATTTCACAAAATAGATCTGTTGCAATATAGGAGACCTTCAGTATATATATCATACAGACCATATATACCAGAAAAATAACATAATAATATATAGGAAGTAATATATAGCTATATTTAGGTAGAATCAAGATGCAAAATAGAAGAACTTGCATTCCCTTTAACTGGCCCTAGATTAAATCAGCCGTAGTTGCATTGCAGTCAGCGGGGCTGAATCTCCATTTACTGGAGTTGCACTGGTATAGAACTTGTGTAAATGAGAGGGGAATCGTGCCCTCAAAAAATTCATTTTGAAGATCAGCTACATGGCAATATATACATGTTGTGTCATTCCTAGGAATAGCATTCACATGATATGACAAGTACTCCTTACTGCATTACAGTTAAGTCTCCCTTTACTGTCTTCAGGCTTCTCTCGTCTTATTACTAAACTACTGCTTCTCATGATTTTCCTCTCACTCCTGCTGCAGGAAATCAGTAGTATCTACACTGAAGTCAATGGAGTTACTGACTTGCAAAAATGATGAAAATGAGAAGAGAGTTACAGCCAACAAATCTAACTAATCATGAGTTATATTGAAAAGATTTTTCGTATTTCATAAAAGAGACTTTTTTTTTAAATTGCCACTCTTTGCATCACATTTTAAATTTGATTGCAAACAATAGGTTGTGAATCCTCAACCTCTCTTATCAATAAAAAGCAACAGAGGGTCCTGTAGCACCTTTAAGACTAACAGAAGTATTGGAGCATAAGCTTTCGTGGGT